GGCTTATGTGCACGGACACGCGATCGTTAAGCGCGTTATTCAGTTGACATTCGAGGGCCAGGACCATGGCATCGACTAGCCTCGTTCACAACACGTTTCTGGGCACAGTGACCAGCAACAATCGAGGGGGGCACCCCTAAATGATGCAGTAGAAAGAGGAAAAGCTGAAAGGCCATTATTCTGACCGATATGAACGTTCTTTTTGTCATGTCACTGAGGAGAACAAAGGTTATGCATGAAAGCGGAATGCACTACCGTCGTCTTTCTAGAAAATACCTGGCCGCGTACGGAATGCAATGCGAAGAAAGCGTGCAAGGTTAATAAAATAATGATGACGTGGGGGTATTCCGCCAGAGATGCGTCGATGTTGCCATTGATGGGGTTATGGGCCCGAATATTCCGAATGCCCGAGCCCGGAAAGAAAAAAAAAAAAGGGTATCTATTACTCGGTATCCTTCCGGGAAGATCACTTACGAGTATGAATGATGTCAGGACTCGGGAAGCGAGACATCAAGTTGTCTAAATGGAACAGCAGAGGCTGCGAAAAAGAGCTGCGCAAGCGAGGTGCGACTGCGAGTGCGACAGGTATGTGTATTTCGGGATCGGAAATATCAAAGACAAGGGGACAGACATCCAACTATCTGATGCGGATAAGGCACCGCAGTAAAGTAGAAACCATCCCATCAAATCGTTTGTTGGTGAATTGCTAAGACGATGCCCACGATTAAGATTCTGGGGATCATTGCTGAAGTAAGGAGGGTTAGTAAGTCAGTGCGACCCTGGTACGACCTGACTTAGTAAGCGCCGGTGAGGCCGAGGGGCGTCGTACGTGTGTGGTGGTCAAGGAGGAATTTACCCATGTGACCCACCTGGTGCCGAGGCCGAAGAGAGGACATCGATAATTGGGACGAGGGGGGGAGGATTCGGAGTTTGGGGCGAGGGGATAGCCGAAAGGAGCCAAAAGATGCGTCGGTGCGAAGTGTACGGGGCGCTGTGGGGCAGGTCAGCAAACGAGGTACGCTAGAAGACGTATGTTGGTATTGGCGCCTCAGGTGAAATAGTAAAGACCGGAGTGGATTGGATGAGGCGGGATGAGTTCTTGTTCTATTCGGGCACGGGCACGGATGGAGGTGGGTGGCAAGGGGTGAGCAGATGTGGGTGGGGGCGAGTGCCAGAAGTGGGGGAGAGCGAATGGATGGTTGAGTCAGAGATGAGAAAACGCCGAGATGAGATGCCCCCGATTACAGTCTGATTCCGGGAACCCGGCTCAGCGATGCCTCTAGCTGTAGCTCTTCCTCTCCTCTTGCTCTATAAATCTCCATCCCGATGTCCCGTAACCTTCCCCGTCCCCACCCTCACCCTCACCCTCATCCTCTCTTCCCGGTCCATCTTCACAAATGTCTCCCACCTTCCAGTACGATCTCCCGATGCGCGTATCTCATCCAACATCTCCCGCCCCTAAGCGCCACTTCTCTCATCGTCGCCAGCCAAGAGTGGCAGACGTCTCTCGCATCCTCGACCCTTCATACCTATCCTCCTCGGCCTCATCGTCACCAACCTCCGTATATGCGGATACCAATGGAATTCTTCACGATCCAGATTACCGTCACTTTCCCACTGCGGCCGCTCCTCGCCGTCCCGCCTGGGAGAGCGGCGGTAATGACAACGAAATAGATATTGAAGACTTCGATGAACACGCTCGTCTCCGTAGTGCATCTCCTCGCGAGCGTCGCCGTGCGCGTTACTCTGCCTACGAGAAGTCGCTACCCTACGCCCGTCGCTCTCTCGAGGAGACCATCGGGGAACGACGGCACCAAAACCCCATCCGCTACAAACGCCGCACGAGAAGCCACTCTCCTCATTATGAGATCACTCAGATGGAGGTTGACGAGCCGGACGTCGTTCCCCGGGCGCTCAAGCAGGAGCAGTACGTGCCAATGCACCAGGAGGTACCTGACTGGACGTGAGTCACTCTTTGTCCCTTTCTTTTTCATAAAAATCTGATTGATGGGATCCCCACCAGCCCCACATGCGGCCAACAGTTCCGCCGCCAGTGGCAAGCATTCACCCTCAGTGTTCGCTTCTCTATCTTCCGCGCACAGAGAAGAATCAGACGGAAGTTCGCGTAACCTCGACGCCACATTTACCATCTTTATCACGACACCGTCTATGCGACATCGTCTTCTATGGTTTCGACCACGGCTATTGACTGCCGTACATGCTAGCTGGGAGCAGCAACTCCGCTGCGGCACGAGCGCTCTTGGCATCGTGTCACCTCCACACCTCTATTTGTGCGTAGGTGTCATGCCCCATTCAACTGGCCCCTTCCCTTTGTTTCACAGTATCGCCTTCCATACCCATGTCCCACTACATACGGTCCTGGCTCACGTTCTGCTGTCTCCAACATATGGTCACCTCTAGCTCCCATTTTCATCATTCAAAGGCACATGCACTTGCACTTACCCTTTGCGCTTCGATTGATCCCTGCCCCACTCCACACGTCGCCTTTTCATGATATAACGTTTTCTGATGATGAGCCGATTTTTTTTTTTTATATTTACGAATTTCCCGAGAAGTTTTTACACGAATGTATCGAGGGCACATTGATGCGAACCTCACGTTGCTACACAATGAACTAAAGAAGTTGTTTTACCATTATGATGAAATCAGTGATGTATGAGCCCAACCGCTTCAGTCATTTATAGAACGCGAAGTCGAATTGCAGCGTTTGTCGACGATTCGTCTCCACACGTCCGATTATGCGTGCTGCCTGCAGCTCATCGGTTCACTGAGGAACAGCAGAGACACTCGTATCGGGAGATCTGTTCTGCGCCGGCATACGGAACGGTGGCATGCTGTGCCACCGCAGAGAACCACTCCGGGCACTGAAAAGATCGATAGAATAGGACAAAGGGGGTATACAAGGCCGTGCCAGCCTCTCTGATGGGCCTGTCCGCGCAGCCTCACCTCGAGTCGAGTCAGGTCCCCCCACCACGTTCCTTACAGTTGGGGTTAGGGCGCACGGCTTTGAACCCCGATTTTGGTTGTTTGTTTTGGTGTTGGTGCAAAAGGCGATGTGCCGCGTGCTGCGAGAGAAGACCGACAAGGCCGGACTGAGAGAGGGGGAGGCTGGGGCGAGCCATCTAGAAGACCGCCACACTTCCGCGTCAGCGCGCGCCGATAGGCGGCTGACACCCTGGCGAACCTCCCCCGGACGGACACATGCGGGGTAGGCGCCCCCAGCGGATTGGCTGCGCACTGTGGGCGCAATTGGTCAGCTGGAGCTAAGCCAGCGTCGGTAAATGTGGCGCGCGCCAGAGGGTCCAAGCCCGCCTCATTCCGCGCCGACGTTCGCATCTCGCAAAAAAAAAATACCATTTACAGAACAAAGAATCACTACGGCAACCTTTGCGTCGTTACAACGAACACGACGAAGCTGGGGATTACCGTAGGACCCTTTGATGCCGGATGTGAAAAGGTATGGTCTTATTGGGCAGGATGTCGTTGCGTGCGAAGTAGAAGGACTGCAGAAGAACACGGACGTGGCTAGGGCCGTCCTTTCGGGGCGGAGCGAGGGTCGTCGGTAACGACGACCCGAACGAGCTTCCCCCAAAAAATAGCTATCTCGCGGCGGCGGGGCTCGATACGGAGACTGAACAGATAATTGAACATTGGGACAACCCCACCGGAGACGACCGTGATGCGTGCTTTTCGCGCCCCGCCCCGCCCTCACATGTGAAATCTCATCGTCGCTAACTGTGAACCTTTCGCTATCGAGAGGGGCTAACGAATATTACCGCAAGTGGAAATCAATCACGGAGTTGCGTGGGCTACAATCTTCTGGACCTTCTGGACATGATTTTTCCAGATTGTACGGAGGTCGAAATTCAATTCAGTCGAGTGTACTAGTGAACGCAGGGGAAGGGTGAGGGGCATCCGAGCTTTGCAAAAATACATGCGGAGAGAAGCGGGAATCAGAGGGACCAGAGTGGAGCATCGTCGGGATATGCGATCAACAGCCCGACTGATTTGCATAATGTAGAATAGGTAGTACAGATCGAGTGAAGCAACGCTCAATCAACGTTTAGTCAGGACGATTTAGCAGCCTTCAACTCGAGTCATCGTACAAGGTGGTGAAGAGCTTGGCAATCGCACAGCATCCACTGGTGAAAAGAACGTTTAAATCCAATTGTGACTCATGAATCCCCTGAGCCCACCCACTTCGATGGATATGGATGTAGAAATACGGAACTTGGGTTCGTGGTGTTTTCCAGTGGAACTTGCGGTCCCATGATGGCACGATAGTGGAGGCTGCGCTCCGGAGCTTTCATCCAACAAGGGCTGGGGCTGACGAGTTCACGGAACTTACCATATCGAGTGGGCGAGGCATTTGCCTAGTGCCTTCCCTGCCCAAATACCCTAACGGGATGGGGTGGGATGGGAAAAAGGCAGATGCGTGCAGATGGTCGGCGTGGGCAGGTCACATGCCCATTGCTGAGTACCCAACCTTCCCCAGACGGCTACATGCTATCGGCTGCTCGACAAGGCGTGAGAACAATACGACCACGCTGGAACGACTCGGAAGTCGCGAAACGGCCAATCTTCGCAGGTGCGAAGGGAAGTTGCTTTCCAGCGCAATTGTCCAACTGACCGGAAAGGGTAAAAGTAGTCCCAAGGATCAGTCATCTCGTTCAATCGCAATCGGCTTTCATGATGAACAAGATAGCTTCTTAATAATTCACAGTGGCTCCCGCCTGCTGCTGCCTGCACGCCTGTGGGACGCTAGATTTGTCATGTTCAGATTACGGGCTCGGGCATTGCGGCTTCTTGGAGGTTGGGAGGAAGGGGAAACTCGGCATACGCACCGATGAGGTAGGATGGGGATTAGTGGGCAGGAGGCCCAGCTGAGGAAACCGGAAAGATTCGGAAACGATACACTTTTGAGTTTGAAAGGAAATTTACCGTATAGGAGTATGTATGATTACCGAAAAAAGCTTTTACTGCCCCAGTGAGGCTCGAACTCACGACCTTCCGATGCCGCTATATTTAACAGTCGGACGCTGTAACCAACTCAGCCATGGGGCACATATAGAAGTGTCAAATGTAGGAATTTATTAGACAAAACGTGCAGCTTAACCGAAATACTCTTTGGCCGCCGTGTGATCTCCAACCTTTTGCTAGCATTGGTAAGAATGTCGGCCACTCTTATGAACGGCATCAAACTACAACGATCACAACGAAGCGACCGGTTCTGGTTTTACGATGGCTCCGTCCTTGTCAGCCTAGCGCCTTTGGTGTATAGGGTCCACAAGTCGATCTTTGATCGGCATTCATCCAAGTTCGCGCTATGGCTACTTGATAATGAGGATCCGGCCGCGCTTGCGTTATCGAGGGCCATCGACCATGCGGGAACTCCGGTGATAGTGATTCCGAGCGACATGGACATTTCGGTCGAAGACTTCGAGACTCTGTTGGCGCACTTGTACCATGACTCGTAAGCGCGTTCGAAACTGGTCGCGCATTACGACACCATCGTGGGTGAACCTAACCTGCCATTACAGTCTACTAAGACGTGAGAGCCCGTTCCCCCAGCTCGCCCGCGTGTTGCGGGTATCATCACCTCGCCAACTCGGTTTGACTTCAATCTTCGAGTTGGCAAAGGGTGACCTTGCTACCCTTTTCCCCGGTGGACCAATCCCGTTTGCGCATTTGCACCAGATCGAATATCTGGAAGAGGGGTTAGAACTCGCTCTGCAGTATGACGCTGATTTAGAGGTAGTACTGGCACGCAGCTGCGGTGGCGTCGACGTCACTAATCATCCTCCCCCCAGACCAAGAAAGCGTTGCTTTACAGTGTCGCCACGTCGACCAACTTCGACCCAAAGAGCCAGTATGACCCCTCCGGTCCAGATAGTCATGACGGCGCATCAGGTGCGGGTGCACCGCACCCCGCCCTTTCTCCTCGCACACTTCGCATCTGCCATCGCTTGCTCGCCTCGCTCATCGCAGATTTTACCCCGGTTCTATTCACTGTCGGTGCGGCATCACATATGCAGTGCACGGACGCACTCGCGGACTACTGGATGAGCGACGTAATTACTCCCGCGCTCGCCGATGGTGGCGTGGGGCGTCCCCTTGAGACCCTTACACGCATCGCTTCTCAGTCTTGGAAAGAGAGGGGCGTTTGCGAAGAATGCGTCGAGAGTAAGAAAATAGAGTGGAGTGAGACGGCGAAGGATATTTGGCAGAAAATCGGTGGGTGGGTAGAAGAGGCGGAGAAGGAGTTTCGCAGGGACTAGCGTGTGGATTGTCAAAGGATGAATTCTACAATCCTACAGAGTGAATTTCACCAAGTATCTCCTCACACAATTCCGTTTTCTCGAAGACGAGAGATGCGCTCCACATCGTATCCCAATTCGCTTAATACCTGCTTGTCACCATGAGCCACCCGATTGAGTATACCATAAATGCGGCCGCACCTCATCAGTATGCTCGGAGAGCCACGGTGGGGGTCTGTTCACTGGCATCTTCTTCCCGTTGTAAGTGACGGCAGGCCCGACCAGTTTGATCTTTCCAGCGCGTGGATGCTGGAGGGAGAACTAAGTGGCGGCATTATTATGTAAAATGGAGTCCGTACGTACTTCAACTTCTACAACAACACCACGTGCAATAGCCTGGGGGTGTTCGAATGTCTGTTGGATATTGTTAATAGGGCCATATGGAACGCTTAAACCTGTCAGTGTGAGCCAAGTAAGAACCCGAACCCGCACTTACCCGAGCCCGTCGAATAACCCCAGCCAGTGACTCAACGACTTTTGCATGAGTGTATCTGTGATTATCTTCACTAGTAGTTCACGATTTGCCACTCTTGCACCATTTGTACTAAATCTGGAATCATTTCCCAACTCAGGTTGACTAAGGACTTTATCTGCGAAGAGTTTAAACTGCGAGGAGTTTGCACTGCGGTGTGGGTTTGGGTCGGGGCAAGTAGAAAGGCGAACTGATCATACCTGCTTGTCGTTTCCAGCACCAATTAAAATGTGTCCATCCTTGCAAGGGAATACTTGGTAAGGAACGATTGACGGATGGGCCGTACCGTGTCTCTGGGCTTCCTTTCCCGCGATGAGATAATTGGACGCAATATTCGCAAGGCCCGCGATCTGGTCTCGAAGGTTGATGAATTATTGAAACTCTTCGGCGGAAGCGCACCTGTGACTCAAATAGATTGCAATCTATCCAAACACCCTTCCCTGTCTTCTGCCGGGAGATGAGGGCGGCCATGATGGCACCATGGGTGTACAAGCCGGTTGAAATGTCAGTCACGGCGACACCAACTTTGGATGGCGGTCGGTCAGGTTCCCCTGTTCTGGGGGCCATTCGTTCAGAGAATAGACCAGTCGCCCCTATTGGCAGTGCTCCTCACATATGCATAAGCCCCGCCTCTCCCTCGATTACGACATCGTAACCCGCCGCTGTTCGATAAGGACCTGTTTGTCCGTAGCCTGGGGACCACCAACATGAACGGAGGGTATGAACACGCGGAGAGTGAACGTACCGGTGATTGAGGCGTAAATTAATCTGTTATTAATGGAGCTGCAATCCTTATAACCGAGTCCCATGGAATCCAGCTTGCCGGGTATAAAGTTCTCAACCAGTACGTCTGCTCTCGCAACGAGCTTACGCAAAATTTCTAGCCCCTCGGAATTTTTAAAATTGACAGTGATAGAACGTTTGTTTCTGTTCACTGCGAGAAAATACGCGGATTCCGGAGGGAGGTGAGAAGATGGCCTTTGGCGCAGTTTCAGAAAGGGGAGCAGCGGGTGGGTTCCATGAACCTGTGTTAAGATAGTTAGCAAATGCGGGGGACGGTGGACGAGATACTCAACGTGTATCATCACCACGTTTTATTTCCTCTACTTTTATAACGTCTGCGCCGAGGTCGGCTAGGAGCATAGTTGCCATTGGGCCAGCAAGAACGCGGGTCAAGTCAAGAACGCGAATTCCCTTGAGCGGTGGTTCGATGCCTGCAGCAGCCACATTTGAAGAGAAATTCCTGCGAGCGAGCGAGAGAGGCCGAGACAGTCGTAACATATTCTGGACCACAACCGGCCCGGTTCTGTGGTCCTCTTTGAGCACACCCCCCCATCACCTCATCCTCATGCCCGCGATTGAATTGACGGATCTATTCCCTTCGACATCTTATCGGCTCGCTTATGCTCTTCCACTTCTCGTATTATCCACACTCCTTGCATTTGCTGGCTCTTTCTTTACGCTCGACCGCACTCGTTCCTTTCGACCTCGTAGCGATCCTTTACATGTCCCTGGGTCCTTCAGCCTAACGAAGAATCCGAGGCGCTTTCGTCTTTATCTGCAGGGTGGCGTTGGTGGCATTGCCATCGGTTATTCGTTCGGGCGTACGTTTGTCTACATCCCTGTTTAGTGCTACAAAGGTCATTGAAATCTCCTCAGTCCATTTATCCACGTTTCTTGCGCTAGTATTTCCTAATGAATCGTCATCCCCACCCCTAAGTCCAAAGTCATTTTTGGTCGTCTGGGTAATCACCTCAGTTTCTCTCGCCACCTTCTCTGGTCTCTTCAAATATGCTGCACTCGCACTAGCAGGCATCACAGGCGGGTACGTAAATGGCTTGGCATATAGTTATCAATCTTATCGCGTCCCTCTCTTTAGAACCTCTCTGGCGCTTGCTCTGTCCATCACAATTCATCCCAATCTTTTGACACGACGTATCTTTCTTGCACTTCTCGCAGCAATCTGCTGTGTCTTCGTCCTACTCCCTTTCTCCCGCACCCAACGTAATTTCATTCGCCTGTCTGCTTCCGCGACCGGGGCATTTGGCTTGATCCTATCCATTGCTCTGTTAGCGCACGCCCAACAGTGGTCGAACGTTTGGGAGCGCTTATGGGTAACTGATGGCAACGGGTGGGGTGATGGTGTCGAACGAGCTCTTAGCGCTGGCTATTGGCTCATCCTCGTGGCTGGATGTTTAGTAGATTGGGTACTGAGAAGGTATTTCGGGGGCAATCCTGACGAGGTATTTTTCACGCTGGTGACCTTGATTTGAGTCTTTGACACAGTCGATGCAGGAATGGGACTCTTACCTCACAGAATACGCCACCTCGCTCCCCATGGCCCGTGATCGTGCGGGTATCTTCCAGCCAGTTTCGTACAGTTCTTGGGATCGGTTCCTCCCTTGCCTCCGTCGGTCAAAACCATCTAACGCACCCGACATCTTGTTCCCTCCAGACGATAAGTATACCCTCTCTCCTCACATGTCTTTCGAACACAATCGTCAAGGCTTCTCCCCGGGGCGACCAACGGTCCAACAAACCTTTAGTTTCGATGAGCCACCCCGTCTCCTGCGAAAGCAGACTCAACGTCCTCTCGCTCGCTTGCGCGGGTTGGCCAGTGCGGAGAGTCACGGATACCGCAAACGTGAGGCGTTAAAGTTTGGTGCGATGGACCCTGGTGATCTCAGCTCGGACGACGAGGGTGATCCATTGTCTTCCCCTCCACCACCTGCTCGTCGTGCCTCAACACGGTCCAGCAGCGCAACGCTTACCAACGGGTCCAGCGAGGGCTCTCGCCGCATCTCCCTTGGAAAAGAAAGTTTAGAGAAGGTAGCCGCTGCCAAGCGTGTTGCTTTGGAAGCCAATGATGCTAGCGCACCGGAGTATTCTGACCACGAGGAAGACCCGATCAACTCCAAGACACAGACAACGGACCATCGCAGTTCGCCGGGTTGGAAGCCACCATTTATCGTACGAAACGGCTCGAACACCGCGAGCACTGCGGAACCCGTCGCCGCTGTACCAATGACACCGTCCCTCATCCGTGCGGTCGACCGCATTGAAGCAGCGAAGGTCCAAGCGTATGGCTCTCCAACTCCTCTAGACTCGTCCGCGACCGCGACTACTCCTGATACCCCCACCGCTGGGACCGATCCAGCAAGGAAACAACGATGGGAGGCCTTCTGGCATGATGTGACTTCTAAAGCAGGGCAGAAAACGCACACGCGGTAATCATCGCTACGCATTGCTCTTTCGTTTCTTCTATCTTTCTCTTT